TCCTTTTGAGAACTGACGTTACTGCTTGTAGCTGTTACATTTTCCTACTTAAGCTATGTGTCAGTTTAGGGCTTTGAGTATCATATGTTTCAGCCAGTATGTTAATTTATAAAATGAAAAATCCTTTTGGTTAGATTTGTACCAAACTCAGTTTATTGACGAATGAACATCGACTCTCAAGTGGTGAAATCAACTCACTTATTGTATTCAGACTTGTCAGGAAATATTCGATCATTATTAATTGCTACCTCGAAAAATAAAAGGGTTATTCAATTTCCGTCTGACTAAACGCCGTTTGGATTCAGAAGCTAATGTTTACCGTTTGATTTGAACCAAGGTTTTTAATTTCCATCTGTGCATCACTATACACATCAGCACGATCTTATCCTTCACCAAACTTAGCTGTTACATCTGTTCCATGATGGATAACCAACAAATCGTGATGTAACATAGGAAAGACATTAGCATTTAGCTTATGTACTGAAACACGTGTGATCCTGGCCTTCAAATTCGGAATTCAGTTGATCTCTGTTTCACTCCACCCCATGATTCGACCTCGATCTTATTTTTCATGTGAACGGAATTTTGTTCACGCCTATGTTCATTGAGTTAGAAATAAAAACTTTGAAATATTTTAGTAGTTTCATTATTACACATTTTCTGTATAAGCTATACGACAAAAAATATACTGTCAATCGGAATAACAGGTCTAACAACTTGTGAAGGTTTAGTGCACCGTTTTGATCGTGACTGTCGACAACGTTATTGAGTTTAGTTACAACTTGCTACACTTTCTTGTTTGTCGTTTCATTTCGCTTAACTCAGTAAGTCATCAGAAACAATATTAATTCTGACAACATCCACTCATATCCTTTAATGGTAGAGAAAGAATGTCGCAGTTTTGGCTTGAAAGGTCAACAACAGATTATTTGATCGCAATCTTTGAATGATATTTCAGGATAAATGATGAGAAAGATATTACTGATATGTCCATCAAACCTGGTTCGTTATTCGTTATGGTGTTACACAAAAAATACATCTGAAAGTTTATATTTCAGTTGAGAATATGGTAAAAAGTATGGCGAAACTGTGACTTGCGATCTGATGTTATGTTTGACATCTTCTGCAGTTTATTTCTTTGACATATTTAAATTATATTTGAACACCAAATAAAGAAGAATAGCATGAGTTTGTTTGTATTTCTGCACCATTAGCTACACAAAAACATTTTATTGTACCTGAGTGTTAGGAGGAAAAAAGGATTCAATGTGTAGGAATATTAATTGACGACTGAATAAATGGAAGAAGCTAAGAATTTCTTTAGAGCTTACTTCATGCACATATCTACATGTTTGCATTTTTTTTGTGCAGTTAGCTTCAAATTCAAACTACAGGCTGTTACGCACATATCAATAGAAGACCATTGTTACCTTTTGATAATTATATACAAATCAAAAATAACCATTGTAATATTTTTATTCCTCTTGTCTTTCGAACTTCATAGAACTTATAAATTGTTATACGTACGCACAATTTATTTATTCATCGACTTGAGCACATTACACCAACTCCTTCAAAATTACTCAGCCTAGCGTTAAAATCTCTGTCTAGACGACTAATCAACATCTCATGTTTACTTGTCACCATGTCTAGATAACACATGATCCAGCTTGTCAAACTGGATATAAGTTTCACTTTTTTTTATGTCTGCCTCTTGTTGTTACCTAAATTTTTATTTGTATTTATAATGTGTTTGATTTTCATATTATTTTTCTTCACCTTTTCATTGTTTTTCTTTGTATCCAGAAATTCATATATTTATTTCTCAGTCTGTATAAGATGTTTTGTTCACCTTTCTTAAGGAATTTCATTCCGAACTTGTTCTTAATTTATTTTTGTCGATTTTATGTTTTTGTTTCGTCATATGATAGACGGATTTAAATTGGAAGACAACTATATTTTTTCGAAATAACAAAAAAATGTGACATATTTTTTTTAAATATTGTTGACCAGTTTTTTTAATTAAAACTCAGTGTATTTTTTATTGTACACTTTCTTGAGTTATTTGAACAACTGCTGATCATTCGACATACCTCTACAATCCTGCAATATTCAGACAGTCATTAGAGAACAGCAAAAAAATTAGCACTGTTCAGAATTTCACATGGCATCAGCAACTAAATTTGTTCAGTATGCAAACATTTTTGTTTCTATCAGTAGACAATTCGCAAGTTTGTATGAATAGTTGCAAAATCAATCATGGATCTCATCATGTTTTGACGGAAATTTGCGGATTTGCATGTGGACCTCAAATGCATAAGCCATACAAGTCATCATAATAATAATGTTAAGAGAATTTTAGGACCTATCTGTAAACATTATCGAGTGCAGTAGAATCTCTAAATCCATTTTAGTTTTTTAATTTTCACAATGTCTAAATATTCCACACAATATAATAATCAAATAAGCATTTTGGACTTTGACAATCCCTGTGGGTTTATGTATAGAAGCTGCTGGCATGTGTTAACCGTTCACAATTAATACAGTCAAGTGACCTAATAATTACCGGAAATTTATCTTATTTATTGCATTCGAAAAGATTTCACATTTCTTCATACATATACTTCTATAAGACTAAAATTCATCATATCCTATTAATTCTCTAGTGACTTCAAAGTCATGTCCGAATGAAACACCGATTATAAAAGTGTTGAATGTATTTTGGTGACCTCAGTTATCTTCCATATTAATGGATGTTATCTATAAGACTACTACCGTCATATGATAAAATCTAAGAATATGACAAAAATGATCTTGGAATTTTGGCAACATTCACTTCCAAGTTCGAACTATACAAAAGCTCACTCGGAGAAGCATACAATGAATTTAATATCCTACTCAAAACTCTATAATATTCTTGTGATTTCTATGAACGTCAACATCATCCAAAACCTACATGCTAAGTAATCATTTGTACAATAACGACTTGTTCGTTAAAAGACTTTTCCAAATAACAAACTTTTTTGACAAAATCATGCTGCACTTAGGAATCTGTTGTTGGCTACATAATCCGTATTATGTGACTTTTATCGATGGTGTAATAATCACAAAGCAAACAATCGTGCCCACCTTATTGACGTTGAACTTGTCTTTTGTTTTCTCGTTTCTTCAGTTCTATTATTTTTTCATCACTCAAGATGCACTTGACGACTTCCGAAGACGGAGAAAATTCAGTCTTCAGGTTTGAGTGTATATTTAAGTCTCTGCAACATTATTTATAATGTCGTGTGAGGAATGTTACACATTTATCACTATGATAAGTGTATCTAGTTAATGGTTATTCTAACTGAAAAGCTTCCTACAATCGATATGTAAGACATTTTAGAAAATTAATAATGCCGTTGTATTATGATGCCTTACGTGAAAGTATAACATCTGAGTTATTATTATAAAACCATGATGCTTGCTTAAGACAGTATATTGATACTACTCATTTTACTTTAGAGTCTGTTCCATTCTTTTTTAATTTGTAAAATAATAGGCGGACATAAATGGTGACTGAAAACAAGTTTAATAATTTCAAATGATAGTGACTAGCTGATTACAACGAGAAGATGAAAGTATTTATCTTCATATAGATTTCCAATATACATTTTTAAATGAATACTCCACGTAACTTTCTATTTGGACCTCTTTTAAAGACCTAATGTACCTCGGGAAAACGTCAGCATTAGCAATAATGACGGATATACACGCACTCTTCCGAAAGTATGCAACAGTTTGGTGCATTTGCTTACGACGACGAATCGTATATCAGATCTACAGACACAGTTACACAAAATGTATAGCTAACAAGACGCATACACAAATCAATCGCCACTTCAAAGTAATACTGTTTATGATTTTATCTGAACCCCATTTCCTATTTGTTTGGTGAACTATTGTCATCTTAAATTACATTTCATTCTAACCACTGTCTTGGTAACTGTCGAATAGAAAGCAATATTCATAGTTACACGATGTGATAAAATGTCTTACTATGTAACTTCAGACTATATGATTAGAAACTAAACCAAGAACGTATTTCTATAAGAAGTGAAAATGAGAAGAAACCTTATGTTTTTTTATGGGTTGGTCGATGAAACCAGTGAATTAAAGTGTGAAGGATTCCCATTCATTCGAATTATTTGAAAACGTCATATGATACAAAAATGTATGGATTACTATTGTTATGTACTTGCATTAGTCATAAATACTCTGAAGTTGACAAACGCAAAACAAACGATTGCCTATCTTGGAAGATCGCCGAAACACCTCAATTATAATCCATTGTTGACTCTTACTCTCGATACTGATTGAAAATCGAATCATCTACATTCAAGCCTTTTATAAAACAAATGGACTTTGAAATAACGCTAGTCCCTTCATATTTTTTTTATTCTTACAGATTATTGGTGTTTACCACTCACTGTTGCCTTTTTCTTCCGTCTTGACGCCCAGGAGCATACTTCGGAACTGAAGAAGACCTGAATAAATTACGGTAGTTTAAAGTGCAAAATCAAGCCCCACTGCTAAGCACGATGTTAATCCAATAAATAATTCATTTGGAAATAACATGTGGAAGGATTTTTCCTACAAATTATTGTCAGATCTCTGGTGAATATGACGTTTTAATTCAAGCAGAAATTTATTTGACCATTTATTTGTAAATCCAAATATCATTCAAGATTAAATTCGCTTTGTTTTAAAAAAAAATATTTTTTTCCCTAATAGTCTAATCAATATCTATTCTGAAAGTGAGTTGAGTTTCTTCGAACGTTGAAACAACTGACAACTGTTTATGTGATGAATAACACTGATTTTATTATTGGTTTATAATCATTTGATTTCAATCAGTCAATCATTTCATCTTATTTTTCGTCCAATAACTGTTGAATAATTATCAGTGTTTTTACTTTTCCTATAAAAGCAGCTGAGAAGATACAGTTGTTTCATTGAAAATGTTCCGTTCATCGTTTCTCTACTTCGGATTCATTTTGATAATAATATATCCATCCTTGCAATATAGTAAGTCACAGATATGTTCAATATATATGAATATTTTTTTTAATTATCAACCCCCAAACTTCACAATTACAATATTTTAAAATGTAAAGTGGTGATTATTATTTTGTGTTTTATTGAATAACTATAATTTAACTCATAATTTTAAATATATACTCTCCAAATATTGGTTGAATATTTCATTTCCAAAGTCATTCAATTATAATTTGAGTATTATTTCAAAGTTGCAAATTGTTTCAATTATGTCAGTATATCACTTTCAACAGAGTTATTTAAGATAGATGACCAAATAATATGTAACAAAGAAAGTCAATTGAATTGTCATTTCATATTGCTTTTTTATCATTAAGTTAACTAGGTATCTTCAAACAATATTTATTCAGTATAAAACGAGGGTTATTTAGGTTATTGACTTGTTGAGTGAAGGTTTTGAGGGACAGTCAAGGAATTTGACAGTCATACATAGGTTATATTCTTACAAAGTAATTTTATACAATTTTTCTGAAATGGAAAAAAATATTTTTCTTATCTTCAAGTAATGATTTACTACTTTGTAGATTTTGAGCAAAACGATTTCCGAAACTTATTAATTTATAATAATATACATACTTTTATAACTTATTTTTATCATTATTATAGGTGATGTTGTGAAGATGAAAGTCATTAATTCAGAAATGAATTACGCAAAAAGTAAGTCGTATTATGCTGCATTTAGAATATGATACCTTTGAAACCTCGCTTTTTATTTTAATTGATCATACAAAACGAACACTTCATAGTTATTTGAATGAATTTTCAAAAGCGTTTTAGTCCAATAGAAATATTAAATAGATAAGTGTTTCACAAATTGTTCATGCTATTTCATCTACTCTGAATAAATTTTTAAGATGGCCGATTATTAAAAATGTATTATTTGATACTTCGTTTTGTGGAATTCTAATGAATTTTAAAAAACATTTTTTTTATTAATTGAAAATCTAGCTAAAGTAGAATTTTATGCCGATTTGTTGGAAAAATATGAAAGAGAATCGCATTCCATATTAGGTAATTGCCACTTTTTAGATTCAATTAACAAGTAAACTAAACAATACTCCTAAATTTTATCTTTATATCAGCTGACGATCTTTTTCAACAAATCAATGAATAAATCGGAAACGAATCAATCTGAACGGTTTTTAAGTTGCAAGCAACTACATATCAATATGAGTGCTTCAATCGATGAGGATGAGTAATTTGACAATCAAGTCATATATGTCAATAGATAATAGTGAATCTATTCACAGTTATCTACCGGTCGGAAAGATATTTCATAGTATTATCACAGATTGTTTGAAATGTCAAAATAACTACGGTCTGAATTGCCATTGTATAATCATTTCGGTTTGTGAAGACATGTGGAATTCACTTTGTCTGGGTATTATTCTTCTAAGGGTTTATTTATTATTGCATTTTGAAAAATATTTTTAAATGTACTAAACTTGACATTGTTCTAGGAAATTATTTTTATTCTAACATTTTCTTTAGGTATAATGAAACGACAGTTAGGCAAACACAACAGTACACTTGATGAATGTAAGTGAAGAACAATAATTATGATTAACACTACAAATTTTAGATATTCACTGTGAACAGAAACGTTCGAATGCCCATCATGGAATGGTGGTTAATAAACGTATAGTTTCCTTGATTAATAAATAATATTCATTGCATAATATTATAAATGTTTATTCAAATATTTATTAAAATGAATAGATAAAATTCAAATTTCATTGAACATGGTGATCACGTTGTAGTATATACGATTTACATTTAATTAGTCTGATCGTGAGCTGATACACGGTATAGAGAATTTAGGTTTATATATAAGGTTAACGATAATTACCAAATATTCAAGGCAACTGAATAAGAGAATATTAGTTAGTATATGATCCAATTCAGTGGTTTCATATGTACATAAAATTTATGCTGATGATAACATCTCCAAGGACGATGTAAGCATCTAAACTAGATTTATAATGTATTATTCGGTTCGTCGAATCAAAATGATTGGCATGGAAATGAAGTAACAGTAATTTATGCAGATAACTTCAATTCTATCTAGTCTGTTTCATTGATTATTATTATTCGTTATTTTTGATGAATAATTTAGGTTTAAGGGAATTTATTGATTCAAGAAAGAAATTTCACAGATGTAAGTTTCATGTGAATGATTTTCAAATTAGAACACAGAAACCATTTCTAATTTATTTTTATTTAACAAATTCTCTAAAACAATTGAAACAAATTCAACTAGACATCACGTGCAATTGTTGACATGAAGAAGGCATGAACGTTGTAACAATTTTTTAGAAATTTGGAAGCATTGAACGACCATTTCATTTAAGCATGGATAACATCAGTAATGCTTATCCGTGATTGCAGCTTACTCACAACGTTAGAATTTAGAATCAACAGTCTAACCTGTCAACTTTTAAACTCATTACCATTACCGATGATGGTCACGTCTAACTTTATTTTGTACAATATTCACACCTTCATAATGAGATTTTTTCTCATTTCATTTTGTAGTATCAAATCTTGAAGTGTTTCATACATGGAAAACATGTTTTAGTGCACATGATAAGCACTGGCATAGTATGTTACATTGATCAATGAACAAATATCGTTTTTTTAAACTTGATAACAATTATGAAATTTATCATGCATCATAAAAAAATATTCATAATTGTTTTTTTGTATTTTTATTTTATTTCATATAATTTAAAACAGAAACACTATCCCACTACACATTGGCAAAGTGTAATTCACTAGAAAACGATTTGCCTGATAGTAATATAATATATAAATACAGTATTTTCGGTATCATAATTTATCATATATATATCAACAATGGTTTTATTCATACAAACATAGAACTTGATATTATTCTGTGTTCTATCTTTGCTTCTATGTCATAATTCTCATTAAAAAAAATATGCATTGATAGCTGTGCAAAAATTTGTATTTTGAATGAAAATAATAATAATCGTTATATTACTTGTGTAGTGAAAGGGAACACAGGTGGGGTAACCGAATTGTATTTAACGAAAATTGCAGAGTTACTCATTAAAATTAGAAAACCATATCGTAAATCGTTCATTTGCAAAATATCAGTTCATCATCCATCGAACTGGACTGTTCTTGTTGCCGAAACATCAATCCATTGTCACTATTCATGCGTTTCATACAAATTCCATTGTGTTCCCCATCACTCTTCCTTTCTTGATCTTCCCCCATATTATGCTGCCGGACATTACGTTGACACTCACGTCATATACTACTTATAAGTAGCTTGCACCACACTTATAATATAATGTAAATAGCCATTGATGTACGGATTGCTAAAATTTTTTTTAATTTATATGAAAAAAAACATTTTTTGTTTTTTCTAATTTAGCTCGTGATTTATTGGTCCCAGTTTTAATTGCCAAATACAAAACGATTTCTAGACTAAATTATTTTTATAGTGAGTATAATTTTCGTAAGATAAAGGATTACACTATATTTGAGATAAGATAAACAATATTTTTTTTATTGTCCAGTAATAGTATGAGAGAAATGCTTTTGTAAATCAGAATGATTTTTTTATTTGAAGTTTTCACTATCACAAAATGTAATTTCAATAAACATATCTTCTGTTTCACAATGGTCATATCAGTTAACACCTCATGTTCTTAAAATTATTTATTGTGGTTTTTAAAATGAAACAATTTTCTCGATCATAAAATGATAAATTTTTTTAAAAAAATTTTCATTTCATTCAGTTGCTCACCTTGTACTGAAAGATATTTTCAATGAAGTCAGTTCTCAGGCAAGTAAGTATCATATTGATATGTATTCATGAGCGCCGAACTATTCTGTAGCTGCTTTTGATTTAAAAATCATTATCCTGTAAACTGAAAGCAATTATTTATCTATACATTGTAAATATCTATTTTCGATTATTTTCGTGTTTGTTTTATTTAATAGTTCTCATGAAACAATTTCACAAATCCATGGATAGTTTGAGTAAAGTTAGTGAATCATACTGTGATCATATTTCAACAATAAACCATTTCGTTAAGCGACATTGAGCGACAGTGCATGTGAAGTTCCTTACTTAGCTGTTATCAACATTCTGTTCAGTTGTTTCAGTCAGACTTTCATCGATAGTTCAATATACATTCATTTCAACGTTTATATCAACTATGAAAATGTGACATTTAAAAAAACTGACCTATTATTTGATGGAGTAAATATTGTCTAAGCTAATTTAAAGAATTATTTTTAGTTTAACTTTTAATTATTAATAATTAGTAGTATATATATTTTTTACGTTTTTATTTCAGTCAAAACTTGTTTTATATCAAGTGAAAATTCTGCGTTCATGAATACATATATTTTGCGATCATCATCTGAATAAAAATAAATCATTTTAGAAAGTTTAAGCTAAATGTAAAAACAATTGATATTTTAATTAGTTTTTTTTTCACCATGAAATAAATGTTAATTTCCCAAAATAAATTAAAACATTCACTGTGTTCTTAAATTTCTTTTTCAATTTGTTTAAATTATTGACATCTGACCAATGTTTTTTCAGAATTCAATAAAATTCAATTCAATTCATAGTTCCTCAACATAGGTTATTATTCAACATTACATCGAGACAGTATAATTTCTAGTTATAAATAACTGTTTCGTGGATGAGATATACAACATTAATGTTTTCTGTGTGATTTGATAAAAGAAACCAATGAAGTAATTCTTCCTTAGGTTGGTTTTGACAGACATGCGTTTATCTTTTATTGGTAAAAGGGAGCAGCCGTATATGACACCGATCATCCTCTGGAATGAGTCTAAGAGCTGCTCACCATACTTGGCTTTTAAATTAATCCCGTTTAAACCTCATCTACATATAATTTTCAAACAACGGAATACAGATCACAACACACAGATTATGAGAATATGACTTTGCTCAAAGTAACCACTTGGGATCAAAATCAACATCATCAATACATATTATAAATTTGAACGTCTATGAAATTTGAGATCTCTGTATGGCGCAGCAAAAGATACTGTCTTCATTTTCACTTTAACTTTGATGTGACGTAATCATATCCTTTTGAATTATATTTAAGTTTAGTTCTGATTAGCAGAGGAAATCCAGTACGTGTGTTTCGTTATATTTAGGAGTCCTCAGCAATTTTCTCAGATTACAAACAGTTTGTCAGTTATGTTAATATTTTAGTAAGTTGAATATGTTAATGTTTATCGAGTAGGATGAATAATATAAAGTTGGGTTCAGTATATCATAAGGAGGCAGAGAACTACATCTTTCTACATACATGTCTTCTGTTGTCCGGTATTCTCGAAAGTTTCAATGATATTTCGTATAGAAATGTTATATTGCAAGTGTAAACTTTCTTTGTAAACAATGATGAAATAAGGATAAAATGAATTAAACATTGAGCTACATATAGGATAACCGACGAATATGGTTATTTTGGTTGTGTAATCCATTATTTACAATCCTAATTTTAACTGATATCGTCATAGTTGAACAAGTGAGAATGAATCAGGAATATCAGCATAATCAGAGAGTGACATGCGGAGCTTCATGTCACGCAAAGAGTCAGTCTTGAGTGACTCAATGTGCAAGCGACTTGCTGCTCATTAGAAACTGTCCAGCACTGAAGAAATATTTCATTGGTCAAGAATTTAATGCAATCCTGAAGGTGTTATTTATGATAATACTAACAACAGGAAACATTGTCGCTTGTATAAACACATCATAAGGCCTTCACAGTTGGTCATCCAATGTTGTACTTAACTAGTATGGTTAACAATTATTTTCTGCATATCCGCGTATGATACATGTCCAATAGTAGTCCATAGTAACATCGTTTTCAAAGCTCATTGAATTTTACCTCCACCTAACCACTGCTCTAACACTCCATTTTCTTCCATAGGTCGCAAATGTAGAACTTCTTTAGAAATTAGACTCTATCAGTGCATTATTTAAATGTAGAGATTTAAACTTAGTTGTTCAATACCGACTTCGTTTGCTTATGCCCTGGTGTACCTTCAATCACATGTTCAAACCAATCTAAAGATCAAACTCAAAAACGAGCATTTATTACTTTTGTCGTTTTATTACCCACTAGAGTCTGAATAGTTACTGATGCAGGTCTTTTTTCAGCCTGCGCGACTAAAAACAGTCTGACCTCATCAATGTCGCATCAAAGGCGTTGTACAAGAAGCATATCCCACAATTTCGGAATTCCTCGATCTTATTCATACAGAAATCATATTAAAAAATAATAAGCGGTTTAGAAAATCCGAACTGATTCTACGTATCAGGTTAACCATTCCAGCTATTGGCGAGTTAATCATTGGGCAACAGACAATCATGTTTTTCTTACGTTTGTTGACGTCACGCCGCCTTGTCAGTATACATTCATTAACCCCATGCCTTGCTTAAGACAGACGAAACATATAGTCTAACTCACTTGCGTGAGCCTGTCTACGTTTGGGAGCATTTATCAATAGCGTGGTCATCAGAGCACGTATCGCATTTAGTTTTTACGGTAAAAACAATACTCTACCTTGACTGCAAGTGATGATTTGTCTTAACGTTACGTCCCGTCTTTTTGGAATCGCTAAACGCTCAAATTTACTAATAACTAAGCTCTCACGATACGCTGGTAATACGGTGACCCGAAGTTACTAAAGAGTTGAAGAACACAGTGTTATTCATTTATTCCAAGACCATGTCACAAATCACCATTCTCGAAACTAAGTTCTATAAATCGTCTGAAACGTCTCGAGCCATTACATGCGACTTACCCCTAGTTCACGGATAACTGTCAGAAGCTTCTATCATGGCACAACCATCAATGACTGATCTTGCAATATCCTTATTCAAATAGAGCAACCGCACGCTATCTTCATTAACTCTTGGTTATACTTAAGTTTCGAACTGCCTTACAAAATTCCCATAACATTTGGTTGTGATTGGAAATAATTCTACTCAAAACTTTGATAGTTCTAGAGCTAAAACAGGCTCTTCAGGACTCAATTTCGTATCAAATACTTGAAGCTTCTCATCTTTAATAAGCTTTTTGATGCCTTCGATTATAAATAATGACTAGCATGAGAATTATCCCGGATTAAGTGTGAACCATGACACATAAGTAAATCAAAGGCACTTGCTTTGTAGAAGGAATTCCACTGCTTAGTTAGTTTCCTTTTATTTCAATGAGAAGTGAGATAGACAACCTTTGGGAAGCGTATGGCGTCACGAGGGAAGCAACAAAATATCTGCGGAAAAGATAATTTAAATCTGCGAAACATTAGCCAAACAACTCGAACATGTTGATACTCGTTCACAACTGCAGGTTCGAAACTGAAGTTTGAGATGAGCAACAAATGTCTAGGTAGTTTATTTACGCGTCCTGACCGGTTTAAATCAAAACCACTGCTTTGATTTAATAACGGTTCTAATATTCAGCATAAATGTACAGTGGTACCATTCAGTTATTCCACTAGCAACTGTTCAATTATTCAAATCAAAAGCAAGAAATGAATATTAATCTATCCTTTCTGGACAGACCAGATGCATTTGATTTCTAATATTTGGTCACTTTGTAAAACAGAGTGCTTCTTATTCTGTAAAGGTGCTTCAATTCACAACTGTAATGCACTCTTCCAGTCAGTGCAGTTAGTCTTAATCAAACGAGGAACGAATCAATACGGCTGACGTCATCAGCTTCAACAATATAAACGCATTTCAGAGGTAAACAGTAGAAATAGAAATTCTAATAAAACACAAATGTTATCTCTTGAAGCCGAATCGAACATACTAGTAAAGTATACGATGGAATGAATCCAAAAAAAATACAGATGTATACATAGAGTCATGTACACAGAAAAAGCCTTGAAGAAATGGATGTTACATGATTTCCATCAGAGTTAAATCATTATTTAAAATTGCGTAGTTTTCGCTGCACAGCATTTTTCAAAATTTGCATAGCAAGTCTGAGTGTGTGATTATTAAAACTGATTAGCGTTGGAAATGAGAGTTTAATGAAATAATCTTCAACAGATATTTCCATTATACTCACAAACTGTTTCGAAGAGTAAGGATCGAGTCTGGTTATCGACCAATAGACATCAAAATGTTTTTCACAAAGGCTTAGAATAAAGGCCGGATCTTTTTAATTCTATCAAGTAACCGCTGATGGAAACACGCACTAATAGTTATTTGCCTTGGTAAAGTTATTTAACTACTGGTTGGTGTAAGACACTGTCGAACTACTACCAATAGACACAAGGTTTTATCAGTAAAGTGACTTTTGAAAGTCTAGTCAACTTGAGGGTGAAATGACGTCACTGGGTGTAGTCAGATGCATTTTCGTCATCAATAATCCGTACCTACCTGACTGAAGCTCGTTCAATCGCAAAAGCTAATGAGCGCCATTTCATTGAGTTCAAGACGGTCTCTTTTTTATTCCTACACGTAAACTTAGGTTTGTTTGAATGACCAGAAACACTGGGAAAAGTAGACACCTTAGCACTGTGTTTCTCACTATGAATTGCCAGTGGAGCAGTTCATTGTGAAACTCGCCTCTTCTAACAACAGAACTCTTCAAAATCAGGCTTATTTACACAACATGATACGATCAGAAAACAGGTCGTATGGTAAGAAGATTGCAACAGTGAAGTTAGGCATATCCTACAGCAGTTATAAGATTTATTGATTGTTCATAAAAACTTACTTTATTCATATTGAATTTCAGACATTCCTCAGGCAATATAAACACGGAGCGCTCACACCGAAACTGCTCATCGAATGAATTCATGCGTTCATTAGAAGAGGTAATGTTCAAAGTCTATTTTTGTTGATCTCATAATCCAGTGTGCGAATAGATACGACATCATATATAATTGCCTAAATCGCCACACTGCTGACTAAAATCTGTTGAAGAGCTTCAAAGCAAAGTTTCGTTAGCTTTGCTTTTGGTGGCGTGTACTATATGCACAATTCATGAATATTGTACTTCCGTCTTATACTTCAGCAAGCCTAATTTGTTCTAAGTTGCCAAGTAGAAACGTTTCATATCATTCACCTTCGTGGATTATTTCAGAATTATTTAAGTTCATTTTGAGAAAAGAAGCATAATTGACCAAAAGTATACCTTCACAAAATAAATTAAAGAAAGGAAACGCATTGGTCGTATTTTTAAACTTAAGTTAATGACGCTTTTCATTTATAATCATAATCTATTTACTTAGTATCTCACACTGTTATACGAAATATAATTTTCACAATTTTCATATAAGATAACCATACGAGTCTTAGCGTTTTTTACGAATATTATCAATATCATAAAGTAACTAAATAAAACCTGTCCGTTATTTGATTATAACTTTCCATAAATGTCTTGACAAGACATCTTTTTTCAATATTGCACATCAACAAAAACTTTTATCTAAGTGATGTGTTCAGTCATTGACCTATTCCACTACTACTAAGCTTCAGTGTGTTAGTTATTCAAATGTTGATAGTACGGATTCTGTCTGGCAAGTCAAACCGGTGAATATATATCCATTTCTCAATGAGGCAAGTTGCTCATTTGTCTATATTCGTTCAAACATTCAGTGCAAAACTCTGTATACTGTCTAGCTGGATTATCGAGAACGCCTGTTTTTATTTTTTCCAACATTTCAGCGGATTTTATTGACGTTTACGTCTGATGAACACTGTAGAACTCAACAGACTTTTATTTTGCTTCGAAATGCTTTAGAATTATAATTTATAAGACATAAGAACATTCAGTCGATACATGCGACCTACTAAAATTGCATTCCTATTACCCGTTTTCCAAGTCGGTGAGTCATTCTAGTTTCAAATTATATGTTTAATTACCTTAAATTATGTGACTGACCAAATGTGTGAATACAAGTGGAATTTCACCTATACTATTGTTTTAACATCACAACTATCTGCAACACTAACGTAACTTATTATATATTTGCTAGCACAATTATATAATGCTTGTAGTTTTACAAGCGGTACCACGTTCGCTAACTTTCCAATCTTCTTTAACAAAGATGATGAGAAATTGGAATGCTAAGGTTATCACGGACAACTATTGATATGCTGATATCATAGGATGTCATGGTCTGGGATAAAAATACAAAAATGGTGATGGGTTCGCAAACCTTCATGTATTCAACAAACATGTCTTTAACGGCGCAGTATTTATACAAGACAAGTACGCAAAGCTACATGCGTTTCACCGTACTATATTATTTAGAACTCGATCGACAATATCTGTGTCGATATAAAGCTCAGAAGGATCGTGAAGGACATGAGGATTGTGACAGATAACAAAACCTCTTATGAAATTCTCAAAGCACCAGGAAAAAAGGTGCGTCAAAAAACACATTACATCTGGATATAGAGAAAATCAGGAGAGAATGTGTGAATACAAGTGTGATTTTATCTCTACCGTTATTTTAACACCACATCAATGTGCGACACCAAAGTATCTGATTAGACGTTTACTAGCACTATAATATCTCATATCTTATAGCTCTGCAAGCGTTACAAGTATTGGAAAAATGGAATAAAGAATATTCTATAACTATTAATTTTCCAATTTTTGTCGAAGAATATAGGTAATCTTGTTATTTTGTATTTCAGTCAGTTATTCAACGTAGAAACTGTGGAACATCGTAGAAATATCAATTTCGTTTGTTCAGCTACTTTTCAATAAATAGTGAGTAGTCTAGAAATTCATCATATAAAATTGTCTTATAACGAAGGCTTTCACACTTAAAAAATCGTTTAGATAAACAAGTGATTCAAAATAGACCTAAACGTTTGTGTTGAACCAGAGTAGCACAACAGCGGGTTATTTAAATACAGTTCCGAGTGACGCGTTTTCATGCACGACCCTAATCTGGGGACAAAGTGCCAAAATACTGGACTTGCCGTTTTTCATGTATTTTTTATGGTGCTCGCAAATTCTCTGTAAAATTGCTGCTCAGAGCATCAGCAATCCGTCTGTCTTATCAACAGGAGAGAATTTCTTGCGTGAATATTTAATAAATGCACACCCACGAGTAAACTTTCCGACTGGATATTAGTTTGGAACCCGAAAATTTTACGTACATTCATTCTGTGTAAATTCGGTCTAAGCTCTTTAGAAACCTTGAAAGCAAAATCGATTCACAATTCATTTTTTGCAAATGTTTAAACTTTACGAATTTATGTAAGATTGTAACAAGTAACTGAAATTTTTACACTCGTGTTCTCTTGTACTAAGAGTAAACCTACTATTCATGCATAAAGAAATTATAGAACTTGTGTGCATATTACGATATAATCGATGTACTATGAAAAACGAAAATCGTTAGTTATGAAATGATTTTTGCGGGGAGCGTGAAGTTAATGTAAACTTTTCCACCTAATTACTGCTTGCTGATCTGCTGATATGAATTCTTCAGATACACCAACCTAATTTCAGTATCGGGTACTAGCTGTAAATAAAGCCACATTCATCCTATGAGTTTCATGTTTACCTCAAGAAATCAAAATCTCTTATTGTGAACCAACGAAGGATATGAATTAAAAACTTTTTAGGGTTCAAATTTGACAATTCACCACACTGAAGCAGGTTTCCGAGGAAGCTCACTCTGTAAACTGTGCATATATACCTCTCAGCATTGATCTGTCTTGTGTAGTTATCTGCCGAGTTTTCAGTTTAAGTTTCCAAGTCGACAAGACCAAATTTCATGAAAATTTCCTCCCAGGTCCCTTGAGAAATACCTTTTAACTGTGTGAGCGTTTCGTGGGTGACAGTCACTATCATTCTACTTAAGAAACACGAACAAGTCATCGTACGATTTTCCATGTCTTTGCATACTTAAAAACTGTTTCTTTACAACTATGTGACGTTTTCATTGGTTGAACTAAAAACTGGATGACAGTATGCTTGAAATTTAATAATAATTATGTACGAACGACGTATGAATACAATTCCGCCCAAACACATTTTTTCATCCAAGAGTGCACAAATACTCGTGATGTATAAACTAAAAAATAAAATCTAGCCTGAGCTGCTTAATCTATTTCGTACATGAAGTTGTATTGTCAAGTGCAGCAATAAAGAAAAGGTTTAATCCAAAATTCCAACTATAAATATCCTCACATATATATACTTATGTTCAGCTTATAGTTTTTCTTCGACGACCCCCTCTTCATGGCACAGAAATATCCATGGTCCGACTTGATGTAAAAACAAATCGGCGTAAACCTAGCATGTTTGGAAGGTTTATAACATTAATTCACGTGAACCTGTGCACAGGCACTCATGGATCCGCATTTCGTTCAAGTGCCATGAATATCACTTTTTTGTCAGATGTTTATAAGCCAGTCGTTGATTCTGGCATTCTTATTAATTCGGATTTTCAGCATTTTATTTCGAGGTTTATACATGTTACAATTAATGAACAGTCTGATGTCTGTTCTCAAATGTGAGTTCGAATATCAATATAAGTATTGTCACGCGTGAGCATGAAAATAGAGTTGAGGATTCTCAGTTAGCGGGAAACGCACTTCCAAGATATTTTTATTCGTAGTTATTAATCCCGTGAAATCCATGAGGCTCTGCTTAAGCGCTTTTGTGGAAATATCCAGCCACCTATGACCTGTTGGTCATTGATTTGCGAATCTATCAAACGTTTTGTCTCGTTCGTCACTACATGACATCTCATGACGTCTGCATAAATAATGATGTCCATGCTAACCATGGCAGTCAGAAATCTCATCAGAATGTTGAAATCCACTGATAAACATCTTTCAATGATTGATGGAGCACTCTCGTAGATTTGATCTTCTGCATGGTCACTGAATTCACTGTTAGGTGCATTGCATTAGATGACGTTTAATGTCATTTATTTTTATTTCATTTGAATGATGCTTTGATGATCCTGTTCACATGACGTTACCGTAAAATCAGTGTTTTTCTGAGCTTGTTTGGCAGCATCACTGCTATTCTTCGGGTGTAGAATGAGTATAGTAGCTGCTTTCTTCAGGCACGTTTTCGTTGTCCCGCCTGCCTGCAATGCGTTCCATTAATTCCAAGCATCTCCAATTTGTATCTTTTCATTCATGCAGCAACATAAATAGTTTTTCAGTCTCCTTCCAATTTCGAACGTTCCATGTACTCTAAAGAATGGTCGATCTGGATTTAAGATGAGGAAACGGCCTCGCGACTTCCGAAAGAAAGTCGCTTTCATAATAAAACAATAAAACAATATTGAAAGAAGGCTTTGGTCTCACTGGGTAAAGCTGAAACAACTTGAATGTGTGAGCGATTGTTGATGGCGTCTATGGCAAAATGCGGACGTTGTTACCTATCCGGTCAAGCAGGTTATTACAAAATGATCTTAGGGAAGATCGATGATAAAAATGAAAAATCTTGTTTTAGAAGACATTTTCTACCGGGCAGATATACAGGTATCTGTTTAAGATTCAATTTAGTTCCGTCTGCGTGATTCGTTTTAATGAAACTATGAGGTGATACAATTGTCTTGAAATACATTACGCCATACGGTAATTTACTACCGCATTCCAAAAATGCGAAACATTCTGGGCAAGTCGTTTATTTGACATTTTGATTAAACGTAGCCCATCAGCTGTTAGGTTAGCAAAACACAGCAGAATGCACAAAAAGCTTCAAATTTGTCTGGAGTTTCGGCTGATAATAGTGGTACTAGGCCTAATGTAACGTGTATAAACAAATCATGTTGTTCTGTAATAATCTTGTGGAAAACGTTTTGTGTACATTGATTTTTTGATCCAACTATACATAGTTGTTGAGACAGTTGAATGACAACTCATCAAAAATTAGGCACAAAACAGAAAGTTGCAACCACATAAAGCTCAGTTCCACAAGTTGACATATACCTAACATTTGAGCGGATGATGTTGACATCAAAATCAATAAAACTAAATTATCTTAATCTGTATGGTGCTTACCATATAATGAAAAGATTATCACATATGAACCTTATTTAACGAGTCAAAATCGTCATTACTGAAATGATCATGCTTCAAGACGAAAAAAATTTAATAATGCACGTTATTTAAAAACAAATACTGAACACGTAGGAAAGGCTTGAGTTATTTTTATTTTAAAATCAATGATAACATAACCTAATGAACTATTTTTTTCAATAGAACTTTCTGCGGAAAACAATAATTATTTCTTTTCAACATACTATTTGACTCGTTATTATATATGAATAGGTTACGATTCAGAGAGTGCATAATTACTGAAAACAATGGAATACAACAGTGGGTACCATAAAATGTGGCTGTAAGGAGCTCTCCGTTTAGTTCGTTTAAAACTCAACTCGAAATATCCTAATTGACCTGAATATTCGGATTTGAGTAGGGTATTGATTCATCTGCTGAATGAAATTTTTCTCATATATTTAGAACAAAAAGGCTAATATGCAGAAATGGATAAAGACTAGTAATGAAAGATTCCTCATATTCAGTACCGCTCACATTAAACGCCATAACTTCGAAATGTTAGCGCTGATGTTACAGTAGCAACGTTCTTTTGCGGCGAATTTTGATTCGGTTGACTATTTCATCCACATACCTGACAAGTGAACTAATTAGTATAAGATTTTGCAACCTTACTAAGAGCCAGTGTTATTGACTCAGTGGACAAACATGTCGACAGGATCTGCAAATTTTATCTTGACTTCTAATTCAGTATTTTTTTTTTGAGTGTCAATGAACTACACAAGTTCATAGTAGAAGTATTGTTTTACATACATGAAACAAATAACACATTACAATTTGAAAGTAAAAAGAATACTCGCTATTTACAGAATACTGACGTTCGTAATTTGATTAAACAGATCATTTCTTAACAAAACCTACTGTTTTATAGACGATTTTTAGTTTGCAATAAACTAGATAAACAATTTATTTATTTATGTTGTTTAGAAATGGTTAGATTATTCTCCAAAATGTCCGTTGTTGTTTTTATACCAAAATAACCGCATTTAAACATAAAAACTGTTCAAACAAAGTTCCTAAGTGATATTCATTTAAGAAATGTAGTTATTTTAACTATAACATGAAATTATTATCAATAATTGTTAATGCAAACCATACTGATTAAATCTTATATTTCACTATAATTTGTATAATTTGTAAACTACACACATTCCAACACCATACAGTAGTTATCATTGGTGTTAATAATTATGACCTGATGACAACCATGACAAAAATCAATTTACCTAGTCAATAATTTTTAACTATACCGTATATGGTGATCACTTCACAAAAGGTTTTAATAGGTCTTTTATTAGCTAGTCTATGCACATCAAGGACATGTCAGCAATAGTAATACTGAGTATGATTCATACACCCCCAAGATAGCTTAAAACGTATTATTTTAATAACTATCATTGAACTATGCCATTAATCTTGATTCAATTTCTGACCTTCAGTAATATTTTTTTTTAAATTTATCTCATTAGTTTCAACCTCATCTCTTCTAAATGTGAGGGTGAAGTGTAGATAAATTTCTGATGAACCAATGACAGGAGTTTTAGTATATATATAGTAATGATGATTGTGTATATGATGAGACATGCAGTTTTATTATTAGTTATTAAACATTTGTCTTTATTTAGTGAATCGTTTATACTTAATTTTCTTTCAATTGCTATTGGCTTTTCATTAGTAATTTATCCTATATAAAGCTTATAGAAAAAGAAAACAGTTTGATTGAAATAATGAATCGTTCATTGTTTCTGTACATTTTTGTTCTTCAGACAATTATAATTCACTCAACGTTACAAGATGGTAAGTCATAAAATTGTTGAAAATGCGAATCTGTTTTTTTTTTCCAATCAATCACACACACGCAACATTCTTTGTCATATCGTTTGATGCTCATGAACTAGCAATAGTTGGATGTATAATTTCAAATGTCAATTCTTAAAGAATGATTTTGCGCAATATTACCTTGTAAAATCAGTAAAATGTCAACTGAGAATCAAAAGAAAATAGAGAATAATTTTTTGTTGCATCAAAAATGGATGTCTATACATATCATGTGTGAAAGAGTTGCTTTATTAGTTGACTAATCGAGAAGTCAGCAGACTTTGACATATTTTATATTTTTAAACTGCTTATTAATATCGATTCACTGTTTATCTCCTAAAAAATTTCTAGTTGTAAGCTAAAGCATTTGTACACTTACGACTTTTAAATTGCAGCTACATACGTGAAATTTATTATTAGTATTGTTGCTTTTACAATTGAGATAATTTTAATATAAACGGAGGGTATATTATATTTATCGTTATTGCAGGTTATGAAAATAGTCTGAGAGAGATGGAAGGTCGATTGGGTGAGTTGTATTATGCAGCATATTACAATTATGATGCTTGTGTACTCTCCATGTTTTACTGACCGGACAAAATGTAAATTTTAATATCAGTTTGAATAATCTATCAAATGTAAGCTTTAACGAATGTTCTTTAAACAAAAATGTACGGTAGAGAAATGTTTCATTAAGCAAAATGTTGATTTTATTTCATTTTTATCACCTCAGAAAGAGTCATCATGAATAGTACATATATTGTACTATTCTTTTATATATTCAATTGTATGAAAAAGCTGTTTATTTAATTAAAAATTTAGATGCAGGAAAAAAGAAGATAGATGTAATAAAAACGTTGGATGAAGTAATACCTAAAACAATAAGTAATTAGTTGTTCAATTATTCTGGGACTCAATCCTATAAGAATTATTGTATTTGTATTCTAGAGTTGTTATAACTTTTTTTCATGTATTATTCGTAATGGATGTTTAAGCATATGGCTAAGACTTTATAAGCGATTGATTTGTCTAATTTAAAAATTGAACTGTTTTAATTTCAAAACAATCGTTTGAGCCTAACAATATCAGTTGTTCTGCAAATGACGTTTTTTTTACACTGTTAAATAAATGATAAACAGATAATTGTATCTACTGTTAAGCAGTAATCAGTTGGATATAGGCTTGAGTATTTCAGTCTATCATAAATAGGATTTTGCAATTTAAGTAATCTACATTAATCAATAATCATGCCTTAATTGATAATCATCTTTATGTTAGAAAGATATATTGTTAGTGTGTTATCGAATTGCATATGAATCGTCAAAATAACGCTGATCTGTTCAGCCGTTAGTACATTTCAATCTATCATTCATAGGCAACGTTATATAAGACATATGAAATTCACTTTGTCTTAGTTTTTTTCTATACTTAGTTTATAATTGCATTCTGAAAATCATTTGGTAACAAAAATATTTTAACGTATTATCTTTGACAGGTCTATTGAAACGACTTTCAGAGAACCGTCGTAGAATAGTTGATATATGTATGTAAACAATAATGATTTTACACTAGAATAACACTGCTAATTATAGATATGGAATGTGCTCAAAATTATATGTGGTCGCTTACTGGACTTACTGTGAATAGAGGTTAGAGTAGTTCACAATATACACTATTTACATTTTGTTATACTTTTTCTATCACTAAACATTGTTCTTTTTATGATATTGTACATTCTCATTCGAATATTTTTCAAAATTTGAATAATAATAAAAGAAAGACGTTTTGGGTCTGACATTCAAAAACTGGGAGCTAATAAATCGGATTGAAATTTCATTAGTTTGATATTCAGTGGATACAGGATTAACAAATACAGTGTTTTAAAAAACATATTTGTATTTAACTATTTAAAAAAGGCAACATTATATTCTATGTTAACGCCAATTACTAAACATTAGGGACGATAGAATAAGGCTTTGATTTGTTGATAAATAATCCTCGTTTAAGAGTGAGCAGTCAGACGAAGTTAAATAGTATGCAAAGAATTTCTTCCCTTAAATCAGAGATAATATGATTTTCGTAAATATAGATTATCCATAATGAAATATTATATGAATAAGGTCAATTATTTCTAGTCAGTTTCATTTATTAATCGCTTTTTTGTCAATACTTTAGATTTGAGAATTTTTATGGACCTTCAGAAGACAAAATTTCAATGTACATTTCATGATAATTGTTTTGTATTTTTCGCTTACAGTAGTTTGTGTTTATAGTTGATTATATTTTTTTCAAAACAAGATTTAATAATATGAAACAGAAAGTTCTTCCAGGAATTAATAATTGGAATTAAACTGGAAAATTATTTACTAATCAAAAGGTTACATTAATATAACTAGATAAAAATTTCATTGATGGAAATACTGATGCATTTTAAGCAACAATTAGAAACTTCAAACCATTGAAGGACCTTCTCGTCCAATATTCAGCATCCTTGATCGCAGCTCATCTCGATTAAATCTGCAAACTCACTGTCTCGCATAATCTCAAAATCACTGATTTGCCATGTTAACGTCTCACTTTAATGAATAGAATTAGCAGTTGTTTAATGAAAAAATTCACTTATCTAAATTGTAGTGAAAAATCATCCGATGTTCAAAACATGGGAGTCATGTATCTCTACACAAGATAAACATTTCAAAAGTATGTGAAATTTATTAATGAACAAATATGTTTGAAATTCATAAAAAAAATCTCGAAAACTGCTATTCTTCCAACAAATACTATATATTTATTTTTACTTCTTAAAATAAACAGCATTACAATTGAAATACCCACAACGAAAATGTGATTATATTGGAAATTATTTGAATGAATGTAATAAAGAGTATATACTGTATTTTTAATATCATGTACTTTATTTATATATATAAAAATTACTTATATTTATTACTGATTATACAATAATATATCATCGATAAAAAGTGCAATTCATCTCATCAACAGAACTACAAAATTACATACTGCGAATTAATTGAAACATTTTACAAACTATAGGAAATTGTAAGATATAATATGTCTATCAAATGCAAATGGTCAATGATAATTAATCTCAATGAATGCAGTCAATCACTGAGAAGAGTCATTTTAGAACAAAAGAAAAAAATTGTTGTCAGCATTTTGAAAATGCTGTAGCTTGAAGCCTAAAATCTCTTTCATTCTAATATAATTAGCATTTTATTTATTTATTCGTTGCTGGAAAAATGTGTGTTTGGAATGTTATAATAAAAAAATTTGTTTGAAAATTAATTTTTTTTTTTTTCAGTTAAAGGTACTCTGATAAGTGAATTAAAAATCAAATATCAAGCGATTGGTGAAATGAATATGAATTATTGTAAGATAATCATATAAATTACCAATTCTATGATGTGCATTGATTAGGGTCATCTATCTTTTATAAATTTTTTTCAATTTTTAATGTTTACCTCTTTGTTGAGGGATCAGAAACAAAAAAACATTTTTTATTTTAAATTATTAAAAAAAACTACGTCATGAAACGATTTATTTTGACGTTTTTAATAACAATTTTTTTTATAGATGCAGCTATGATACTGAAAAATATTTCCGTAGATATCAATAATAAACGAATAGGTATGCATTATGATGAAAATTCATGAACGTTTCGTTTTATAAAATCAAACCAGTACCAAACATAAACACTTTTGAAGTCATTTTTTCTCATCATGTACTAGATCTCATAAATAGTAACATAAAAAAAACAATGTCAGTCATTGCATGATTCTTGAAATGTAGACATATTGAATATGAGATATATGTGCATTGATTTACTTACACATGAACATATTTATTTTCTCAGTCATTTAGATGTTGTTTTTTGCTCACTTTTTTTTCCCTAGAACTTTCTAAGCAATGGAATAATGTTTTAAATAAATTAAATCAGGTTAGTGAAATCTGTACTTGTTAGTCAAAAATTATTTTTGGTACAATAATTAAAAAAAAATTTCATTATTATTATTTTTAGAAAATCATTTATGTATAACAGATTAATTCATTGGAATAACAGAATGAATTGTTGATTATTAATTAATCATTTAGTATAGAATGAATGATAAAATTTTTATTTCTTTTTCTAGTTATTTAAATTTTTGATTCTATATTATTCTAATTATTGATTTTTCACTTAATTTCACATTTTTTTTCATTATAGTCAGCAGTTGTAATAACTGTATAAAAATTTTTGCCATAATGAATATACATTTATAATGAAAAAAGTGAAGTTGTTTTATAACATTTCAAACAAAATGTACACAATTTACGTCTTACGTTTTATACGTTTACTAATTAACTGATTGTTAGTTTTTTTTTTATTTCTAAAAATGTTGACTGTGTTGATTAATGATCAAGTTGACATTGTATTTTCATTGATTGTTTTGAATTATTATTGACATTTCACTAATGTTTCTGATAGTTTGATTCCAATGTCATGTTTTTTTTTCAACTTATGATATTATTAAACATGATATCATTGCTGGAAAAATTTTCAGATATTTTTTCGTGAATAAAAAAATATCAATGTGTCAATTTTGACGTGTTTTTTTTTTTTTTGAAATACACCTTCACAGAAACTTAATCTCATGTTAATATAAATTTGAATGTGATGCTTGAATAAAATTAATACGTTTTAAGATGTGAAAAATCCTGTACGGAAATAGGCATTACAGGACGATATCATTAGTGATTGACGTTGAAATTCAGCATGTACATTAATTTTTTATTTAGAAATCGTTGATAGCAGTGCTTGAATTTACGATTAGAATTTAAGTCCATGTTTGTTACCAAACACAGTACTCGCTTCGAAAGGTATCAGGTTATTCACTTAGTTAATTAATAACTGCAGACAGCTATTAGAAAGTAATGAGTTTTTTTGGGAAGAGAATATAGTAAACTTATTTTATGAAATAAAATCAATGACAAAAAAATGAAGCCAAAAAAAGTGTCAAGCAAAAAGAAGAACAGTGCCTGATTTATTCTTGCTTTGATAAAGGAAAGAAACATATGAATAATAAATACTTTGCAAAATCACAACACAGACGAATGTAAAAGTATTCATCTGTACTCACAGTAGCCACTGACAGTAAGAACGTCCGTAAAACATTATATCTTTGCATGATCAGGCATAATAATACTAACATGATCATGCTTTATAGATTTCCGATGAATCATGTATCTAGTTAGATTATGAGAATTCATTTTGCAGCAGACAGTTAAGCCTCAAGTACAATGATAGTCTATTTGACTCACAACTGATGAGGTCATTGACAGTAATCGGCTTTTTCCGCGTCATTGATGAAAACGATCTCACTACACTGCGACGTTTTTGTCGATTCTTGTATTCTATAAGATCGTAATTCTACAACGACTTTTCTGTCGTCAAGATTACATTTATTTTAGCAACCCTTCATGTTCATAGATATTTGTGTTGAGGCATTTCATTTCAAATCAGTGTGTGTTGCGTAGATTAGTGTTACAACAATCTTAAGAATATACTTCAATATGTGAAACTGTTACATCGATTCACGTTTATCAAGTGACACACGGACTGACTATTTCTTATCAGTTCAGTTGTGAATATAGCTGATAAATAAATATTAACTAAAACCAAGATAATTTTATAAGTTTTGAAATGTATTCTATTCAACGAATATTACAGAAATCAACAAACAATATTAATTTTCGGTGTATTTCTATTTTCAATGAATGAGCATGATCATTGAATAGCGAGTTCACAATTTTTACGCTGCTCTTATTATCGAGTCGTCGATGTCTTCAGGTGAACTGCAATGATTATCAGTAACGATTTTATCAGTTTTAGATTAGTTCAGAACAGCAGATGTGTATTCCCTCATTTTTAGGACTGTTTAACTAAATTAACTCACATTAAAATAAACTCAACTGAATAGAGTGAGCAGGTTAGTTCATGGTTATGTCATGAATCAAGTAAAAATGATGAAGTTAAAGTTGGTTGTTATAAATCATACGGAGGAGTTTATTATGTAAGATATGTATAAAAGTAATAAGCAGCTGGATATTTGCAAATTCTTACTAGATGTTGCAAAATCCTCACGGAACTTTTTCATATGTACTTTCAACAATGTTAGAAAACACGGAGAAACTTAAGTATAAAATGTTATCATGTTCCTGTAAAATGCAAGGTTCCTAAGCACAAATATTCAGCTTATTTGAGTGATAGATACTGAAAAAGATATAAAAATTATATAAATCATGAATAGTAGACTAAGCAATGGATTTCCAGAAGCAAATAGCGAATAAAATGTTTCCTAACGTTTACCATTTTCCTAATGTTATATTATTGTGATAAATGTATTTGAGCGCGAGGAAATATTACAGTGGCTGTCAACTGAGAAATTAAATGCTGCATCACATGAGCCTGTCATTACTAGTAAAGATAGTCAAAGCAAAACAGATTTTCTGAATTATTTGTTACTCAGGTTTCAATATTTTGCATGACATTGCGAAATTAAATGAAAAAATAAAGCAGTTTATTTGACTAGTAAAAGACTCTCTTTGGGGCACAGTTTTGGAGGTTTGCGATTTTTTTTACACATTTGAAATCATCAATCAATCATTGTTAGACCACCATCATAAGGCGAACGCCTTACCATCGGACCACTGGGCCGGCATCCAATATCTAACTCTGATTGATCTAGGGATTTTGCGTGTTCGCCTACAATGCCAAAGGTCCCGAGTTCGAATCCTGTGAGGAGCAGGATTTGTGGACGCGCACTGCTGATGAGTCCCATACCAGGACGAAACGGCCGTCCAGTGCCTCCAGGTTTCTATTGGTGGTCTAACAATGATTGATTGATGATTTCAAATAGTAAAAGACTGTGAGGAAAAATTGGTAGCTTAATCATTTTATCAAAAACAAATAAAAAAACTATTATCACGATAAATAATTGAATAATAATATTATTTATAATTTCAAGTGACAAAAATACTTTGTAATAAAAATGCAAGTTAGGAAGCAATATTATGTTTAAAGTTAGGCTGAAATGTTTGCTGTAGGAAATAGATATTTGAAAAGAAGCATTCTCAAGTATCAGAGAGGATTAGTGTTTCTCACATGAAATCCTAAGACGAGGTTAAAAGCTTCTCTCCTACAGTGCGAATGAATTCACAAATTATATCTTTCGATTTCGATAACGGACCAATGAACAAAAAAAAATAGTTGAATGTATTTCAGTCTGATTGATGAAGCAAACTAACATCCATCTATTGATGAGATTCGTCATCATACAAATCAAATCGCTTTATTTTAAAAAAAATTTTTGTTAGCATTTAATAATATTTTTTGTCATAAAATTAACTGATATACTGAACTGATATTTTCCGAATATTATTTATTGTTTCTCGTTGATTTATTGATAGAAATGCAGCGTCGGATTAAAAAAATGTTCAAATCTATGAGAAACATTTCAATCGAGTTCATAAAGACTTTGTTTAGGTTGATTATCACGTTATGTGAGATGATTATATTTCTTTGAAATCGCCCGGTTTTGCGATGACGATGATCTGCTTTCCTCTGTATCTCACAACACTTCAGAAAATATTCATTCAAGAGGTTATTCACTAGTTTCAAGTTTCATTTTGAGGCTTCAAACATTTCAGCATTTTTCGTTTTCAGCAAAAACAGGTTATCGGAATCTAGAAAAAAGGTCATTACAAAAAAATCCTCACTTCATAAAACAGCATAAAGTATATCATTGAAATATAATCATATTAAATTGAAAAGGTGAACCAAATAAGCAAATAAAATTTCTTATAGATTGCAGTATCTGATGATATAATCTAAAGGTCAATAAATGAAACGCAAAAAAAATAGAAAATAATTCAATGCAGAATTTTTAGTTAAAGCAATT